TTCTTTTGTCAGAGATGGGTGTTCCATTGCATTTAGAGAGGATATAATTGGTATAGTTTTTACAGGAACTTTACATAACTTGATGCCAGAGCAAAGATTTGAAAATAGCAGTTAATGTGCAGATATCTGTGAACTAAGCGACCACATTGCAGATAGCACTGTGCAATATACTAAAACTGTGCTTAATATACCCATCATTTTGGTCTCCTAAGTGCGTACTACTTCTAATATCATATTAATTATTGCTCTACTCACCTTAAAGCAAATGTTTGTAAAGAAAATGAAAGGCCATAAAAGTATATGAGAGCCCACAAAAAAGAAATGGCATAGGATTGTCCTGCTACAATGTTGTACGTGGTTTGATTTCTAAATTTCTATGTAAAAGAATGTGTAATTGTTTTTTAACATTCTATAGGGACTTAAAGTTTAGAATATCCATGGTTATTGGAAAATAGCAGTTCCATTTTATGTCTGAGATATGTGATATTCAGATTGATAGTGATCTTAAGCTTAACTGCCTCTGATACAGGATAATAAAACCATTAATCTTCTCTTCTGGATGTACATTTTTTTATTTTTTATATATTTATTTTTTATTGAGAAATAAATATGAATGAGAGAGTTTCACAGCTGATTAATGGACAGTTTTGATAGTCAATACACTGTACATTGTTATCTTCTTAGTGGTTATCCATAGTACAAGAAGCAGACAGGATATTCTGTCCAAACACTGTTAGTACACCTCTTTCTTCTCCTTGAATTAAGCAAAAGTAGCTGTAAATTTAACCTATTTTGTATATATAAATACAAAATGATCTTTCTTTTGTATTTTTTTATTTATAAATTTTTTGTCCTGTCAGAGGTGAATATTCTATTGGCATCTAAATACTATATGTGTTTGAATTCAACCAAAGACTCTAACACTGTCTAGCAGTCTATAATATTAGTGGGTTATCTTCAGAAGTTATTGACTTGAGCCTTTTACAGCTCATCGTATTAATATGGATTTACTTTATATACCTTTTATTTATGCTTTTCTGCTGGATGGTTAAGACCAAGATATAGCAAGACCTATATACCAAGAAATGTAACTTTTGTATCTGATAAGGTCAGCCAAGTACTCTCAGGATTTCGCCTGTAATCCTGTACAGCCTTTTGTACATCCTTTTGTCAGTGTCTGACATGAGGATGAGTCACGGCCATTGCTTGACCAATTTGCTCTCTGTGAAAGTTTGAGAAAATATTTTTTCTCTCCATGTGACTCCTAGGCTCACTTTACATCATCGAACACATTTCTCTGTGGCTCCATAATCTTCTTGATCAGAAAATTTGGAGCACAGCTGAGTTACATGTTGTCACAGTACAGGTTCTCCTATGTCCCGAGTCTTCACTGACCTTGAAAGGCTAGGGTCAAAATGTTGGCTAGCCATGCAGCCCTTCCTTTTCTCCAATTTTGACCTGCTATCTTAGGTTGCTAACCCTCCAGAAGAGAAGCTAATTATTAACCTGCAATATATGCAGTTCGGATTACCCTATCTGTAGAAATATCAAACATTTTGGCATATCCTGGAACAGGTATCTTCCATCAGATATTGATATGTTGAACTTTAAGCCCTTACAGAATATGAAGGAACAATAATTACATAAAAGTAGAAATAAGCCTTTACATATTTTTGCAAAGAAATTTAGAAACCTAATCATATACGGAACTGTAAGTCCTTATATTAGGGAGACAATACGATATTTACAGATGTAGGTCTGTCTTCTGGATGTTTAGTAAATAAAGTTTGCAGACCAAAACTTAGACAGATAGATGGGCTTAAAAGATAGAGAATATTTTCTCCTCCATTAAATGCCTCTGTTAGAGGATAATAATACCATTAAACTTCTCTTCTGGATGTTTGGCAGTAAAGATTGCAGACCAAAACTTAGACAGATATATGGGCTTAAAAGATAGCCAATATTTTGGCCCTAGACCTTCAAGATCAGTGAGGATTAAGGACGGAAGAGAACCTCTGCTGTGACATCCTGTAACTAAGTGGTGTCCCAGATTTTCTGAAGAAGGGGATTATGGGCCCACAGAGGAAAGTGATAGATGATGATTAGCATGCCTAAGGAGAATCACCTAAAGAGAAAACATTCTCTCACACTCTCACAGAGAGCAACTTGGTCAAGCAATGGCTGGAATGGGCATGACTCATGGAGTTGGCTGACAACTGATGAAAGAACCACAAGGTGCTGTACATGGTTTCAGGGTAAATCCTGATGGGATTTGACTGGCCTTATTAAATAGAAAAAATTGCATTTTTAGTTATATAGGTCTACTTTAATTTGGTCTTAAGAATCCAGAAGAAAAGTGTAAGTACAAGATATAAAAAGCAAAGCCCTATTAATATTCTGAGCTGTAAAAGGCTCAAGTCCACAACTGCAGACAATTGGAAGTTGTGCTGACAACTCACTACTATTATGGTCTATTGGACTAACTACGTTACTTTGCTAAATTCAAGTACCTATAATCTTACAAATCTTGAAGTGAAAATTGTTATGGGTCACACAGAATAGGACCCAGATCAGCCAGCTTGGAATTTAGAAAACTTCATTACTGAGTTCAGGGACCCCAGTCAGCTCTCATGCAGCAGAAGGCTGAAAGGCGACTAGCCCAGGAAGCGGGATGGGGGTGTGTGTTGAAACCTGGAACATTTAGTTTGGTAAACAAATCCATTGTCTGACCACATTCAGTTTGGTGAACAAATTCATTGTCTGACAGAAAATAAGGTTTTTAGGGTCAGTGTGGCCACTATTTAAACTAAATTTCCTGGGAATTTTATTTTAGTTTCTGGTTATGTTGCACCTGAGTACCTGCAGGCAGCCTTGCATAGCCCAATATTACAAGAAGTTAAAGCCCATTTAATTTCATTTTGAAGTCATCTCTGTAATCTAACTTTGTTTACAGGAATTAGTGAGGAAGGAATTTTATCTTAGCAAACAACAAGAAACAGCCACTAGTGAACTAAGCAACTTAGAGCAGTGGTGAGTATACATTTTTTACATAAGAGAAAACACAAGATTTATATTTATAGTCTAAAATGTGAGTTGACCCATTACAAAAATATTAGCATCCATTTGCAGGAATACCCTAATATCGCCTAGCTGGCTTCATTGTTTTAATGAATATAGTAAGGAGACAGTAATGGGTGGAAGACCCTTCCATTCCTAGTAATATAGGGCCTTGCTTGAAAAATGAAAAAGTTCACAAGAAAGAGGGGGCTGGGATTTCACAACACAGAGAACCCATTTTTCAGAGGAACAAGGATGCAAAGATGAGTAGCTTTAAGTGGTTGGCTTAGTAGTGTCTTGTACCAACAGGACAGAGGCCTGCCTTTTTGCTGCACAGATTAGAGAAATTGGAACAAACTGAACAAGCTTCACACTGGCAGTTGGGAGCCCTCTTCTCTCAGGGCATCTTCATGGTTCTGAATGGGGATAGCAAGGGATCCTGAGCAGATGCCTCTTCCTGGATTTCACTCACAGTACATCTTCTTCCAGATATTTCAAGATAAGCATGCAGAGCCCAGCATCCCTGTATGAGCTGGCTAAGCAGAACCTGATGAAGGGTGATACCACAACCAGCGGTGCTTTGCATGAGCTGCCCACTGTGATCTTCCATGACTTATTCATGGATGCTTTCATGAGGGAACACAATGAGGTCTTGAAGGTTATGGTGCAGTTCTGGCCATTCCGCTACCTCCCTTTGAGGACCCTTATGCAAATGAGGAAACAAGATACCCCGCATGCTCAGTTAGGAGAGATTACAACAGAAAAGAGAGATCTGCAGACCTTAGAAGCCCTACTGGATGGACTTGACATGCAGCTGTCCCAGAACGTTCATCACAGGTGAGGATGATACACAAATCCTGGAAGCAGGATCCTGGGAAATAGGGAAAGGGACAGGTGACATCAGGCAGAACAGGAACCTAGTTTTGGCTTCTGATGTTGATGATCACAGAGGCACTGACCTTTGTGAACACCACATCTGAAGGGGTTTCCTGCTGAGCAGGCTGCATATGTTGGATGAGGTGAAGTCCAGAGGAACCTTACATTCTTACCCGCACAGGAAATAGAAGTTGAACCAAGCTGCATGCTAAGTTTAAAATGATAAAAGCAGAAGGCAGGAAATGTAGGAGTGTAACTCCTGGTAAAAGGGTGCAAGAGCAACACAGGTAGGAAACTGAGAATTCATCTCAATTCTGAGGATACCTGTGCTTTTGCCAACAGCTGCTGGAAACTGCAGGAGTTGGACTTCACAGATGCCTTACACCCTTTCTGGAATAAAGGACCCAGAGCCATGACTGATGCTCTCTCAGCACATGGAAGAAATAAAGAAACAAGCAGTACTGAGATGACTAAAAAGAAACCAAAATTGAAAATATTCACACACCTTTGTTTCCATGGTGAGAGTCAGTTTTCTGGAACCACGAATCAATTCCAACTCTGCCTCTTGAAGTGGGCCAGTCAGAGAAAAGATTCAGTACAACTGTGCTGTGAGAAGGTCGTGATCAAGTCCCGTGCTGTCTCCATGATCCTGAACATTCTGCAATCTGTGCAGCTGGACTCCATCCATGAGATTGAGGTGATAAGTCACTGGGATTGGAAAGGCATAGAAGCATTTGGATCTCAGCTCAAAAAGATGATAAACCTTCAGATATTTCGCTTTCATAGCCTTAGTCTAAAATTCTTAACTTCACCCTCAACGATCAATAGCTATTCCGAAATCTATGCTTTTTACTTACTACAGTTACAAAATCTACAAGAGCTGCATATGAACAAAGTCTCCTTCCTGCGTGGAAATCTGCATAAGATCATCAGGTGAGGGGGTAGTGAGCTCCTCTGTACATTCACAGTTACTTTAAAAAATAGGATGGGGTCTGTGTGCACATGAATGAAGGTACTAGGAAATGAGAAATACAGCATTTTGCAGAACACAGAAAGGTCTCTGATAACATCCCATTTAAAAGCAGTCACTGAACTAGGATAGGAGCTCTGCAAGAGGCCAGATGTCCAGAAAGCCAACATCTAGAGATCAGATCAAGTGAAAGCACATTCGGTTTCTTCCTTAGGAAGCATGTCCACTTCAGGTGCTGGGTACAGGAAGAGAGAACACTAATTCTGGGACTATCCCTACACCTGCACACTGCATGGGAGACTGTGCTTAGCAGCTATAGGGTCAAAACCCCTTCACAAGTACTTCTTAAGTTGAATTATAATGGGATAAGCATATATGATTGAGTCTCAGAGTTACTTTCTCATTGCTATGACAAAGTACCCATAATAAGTTATTGTAGGAAGGTTTGTTTTAGCTGAGAGTTTGGAAAGCATTCAGTCCAGAGTCATCTACATATAGGCATGGCAAAGCACAAACAATCCTTTGCTGGTTGGTGGAAAGCAGCATGCTTCCCTCTTGCTCCCCTGTATTCCATCCATACTAGAAGGCTATTGGTTGGAGCTATACACATGTACGTTAGAACCTGCCATTTCAGAAATTCCATGTGTTACAGCCATGTGCCATTTCAGAAATTCCATGTGTTACAGCCATGCAAAACCTGTCATTACCCTGATCTACATATCAAACATAAGATGCAGCCACTTCCTCAAATCTCCACTAGGGAATGCTTAGCTGGTGTCTGGAGCTGAGGCTGAGGAAGAGCATTTCAGGGCTCTAATAGAACAGAAGTCTGTGCTGAGGACACTAGGCTAGCACCACACCATTGGTTAGACATGCCTGGGTTTATTCCTCTTGAAAGGCATTCATTTCCCTCATGTGGCATTTCTAACACATTCTAGTCATTGCCAACATTTATAGAAAAAAATGTCTTCTCTCTGCAGGAGCCAGACCCCCTTGGAGGCTCTGTCCTTGTGTTCAAGTCCCCTGGATGAATCTGATTTGAAGCATCTTTCCCAATGTTCAAGCACAAGCCAGCTCAAGGCCCTGACTCTGAGGAGAATTTCAATTAAATCATTCAATCCCAGGACCCTCCAGGTTTTGCTTGACAAAGTGTCCAACACCCTGGAGACCTTGATTCTAGAATGCTGTGATATCACAGACACTCAGATCCTGGCCATCCTGCCCGCACTCAGCCACTGTTCCCAGCTGAAGGCCTTCAATTGCTATGGAAATGACATTTCCCATGGGACACTTCAGGCCCTGTTGTACCAAACTGCTGGACTGAGCCAGTTTACCCAAGGGCTGTATCCTGCCCCCATGGAGAGTTATCAGTCTAATGTTCTAACAGAGTTTGTGGACTCTCAGAGATACGCTCAAGTCTATGCTGAACTGACACCAGTCCTGCAGGACATAAGACCATCCCCCTTGGTCAGTATCAGTTATTGTGATGTTTGTATCAGGTTCTGTTTCTGTACTCAGGGACTTAGTGGGAAATGGATCATCTTAGAGGAGTGTCGTAATCAAAGTACTATTAGATTCCACAGTTGTTTTTGTCCCCTAATTTGTCCAGAAATCTTCTGAATCTAGAAAATCTCCTGTACTGGTAAATGGGGCTTTCAGGAGGTGAATGCTTCATGTGGACACACTGCTCCACCCCGGACTAGTCCATTAGGCAAGCACTGCCAGGAGAGGTGGGACACCTGGGACATAGCCTAAAAGAATCCATCTCCCGTTAATGCTGATCTCTCTCTCTGCTTCTCACAAATAAGTCACAATCACTTTGTCCTCTGTTTTACACCCCTGTTGTGCCAGGTAACTAAATGAATTTTAAAACAAAATAAACCTTTGCTCTTTGAAATTGTGAGTGTTGTATGTTGTTTTCCAGGAAGAGGGGGTGTAATGAAGATGAGTCTATGTCAGTCTTGTAAGAAAGATGACCACAGCCTCATGAAGTGGATAATGCTAGGTAGAAAAGCACATAGCTGTAATCATAGGATATTGGAACCTAGAGCTCAAGGATCAACTCCAGATTGATGCTATCCTTAGCTATATATGTTGCAATGAGTAACCAGAGATACACAGATGTCCCGAACCAGCAGGTCAGTCAACGAAGGTCACCTGGGGGAGGAGCGGGGCATTGAAGAGGGGACAAATGACAGGAGACACGAGAAATGAGGACAAGACAGGATTCTGATCAAGTCCCGTTTATTCAGGAGAGGTGCTGGGTATAAGTGTAAGAATGAGGAAGTCTCGGCTCTTGGGGTCAACAGGTATCTAGGCAACGAGGGAAGGTGCAACCCCTTAAGGCATAGCACGTGATTCACGGGGAATGGGCAAGGTGAGAAGGATCATAAACTTAACTCAGCAGGGGAATAGAAACTTAAGAACATGGCTGACACCATTATAAATGGATACCAGTTAATGGCCTCCCACAGATCCCCCTTTACTTTTATATATGTATATAAAATATGGCTTTTTAGAAGGCTGATTCCCTTGAGGGGACAGTGCCTGGCTTAGGGCGAGGTGTCCTCTACATGGAATCGACTCAAACCTTACCCATCATAGGAGCCCAGGACAATAGAAGGTTCCGTTCCTGTCTTAGGTGGCAAGTGGTGTCTCGAGTATGCCCCTCATTACCTGTCTCTGGCTAGCCTGACCATTTCACCAAGGGTGGGAGAACTAAGAAGTCTCCTGACCTTCATCCTCATAAGCTATTTTTATTCCAGTGCAGTTTTCTCTTTCAGCCATCTCAAGCCTGTGGTAATGGACCTGTATGGGTTGCATTTTAATGGCATCCAATTGTTGTTTAATGAAATTCATCAGCCTATTGAAAAGACAGAGTCCTATTGATAAAAGTATTAATAGATCATCAAAAAAGGGAAAAAAAGGAACAGCTGTTCATTGAAAGACACACAAACACATAGGCACACAGACACACAAGCCCCTTAAAAAAAATCAAGAGTGCACTCAAATATTTGGCCAAATTAAATTATAGTAACTATATTACAAGCTTTAGAAATTTTATAAGTAGATTACTCAGAATTTGTTATTTGTCAGTTATTAGAGATCTCTTCTTAGAAAAACTTGGAAGGAAATCTAATCTATAATTAATATGCATATTTTGTATTTTTATGCTTTTTGTCACCTATTTAGACCTTAGAATTCCACTTAGTTTCTTGAATAGGCCCCAGGGTGGATGTAGCCTGGTCGTTCTTAACTTCTTCTTTAGATCTGGCTCCATGGTACAGCTGACAGTACACTCTGGTACCCAAATAGGTCAGTTAGCATTCTCTGGAAAAACACAAGCATAACCTTTGCCCCAGGTTAGTTGTGGACTGAGTCTCTTGTCATTGTCCAGTATGGAGAGCTCTCCAAAGGACCTTTTTTAGCCTTTTTTCTCTTACCTGGTTTGTCTTTCTGTTGCTGTAAAAGTACAAAACTTTTATAGTATATATTGACAAGTGAAGTTGTCAGGATTGACTCTTTTGCTTTCACAGAATTTTGATCCTACAGTAGCCTTTGGAGGCCACAATTAGGCCTTTTATTATTTAAATGAATGTCAAATCAAGTGACTGTTTAAACCCCATGGCTTTTACACATTATTTTAAGCCTTTATATTTGTAAAATATCAAAGCCCTATTTTAATGCAATGTTTAATTTTGGACAGTAAAACAAGCAATCAAACTTATTAGGAATTAAAAGAATTTTAAGTAGTCTCTTAAAATATGTGGGGCAGTGACTTTTTACCTTGGTAGCTGCTCTACCTGGAGGCCACCCACATTTGCATTTGAAAAGGCATTAAAATATTTTTCCTTTAATTTTTATTTTCTAACCCATTATTTCCTTCTAATAATTTTAAAATTTTTAGCAAAAATGAATGATTAATTGTGCAATATAAGAATCTGTGTGGTTTAAGCAATGGTTTGGTTTGATAGAATTATAACTTTGATTTCCCTGTATAAACAACATTGATTACACCAAACAAAACTTGCGGACCATTTAGCTCTGGGGCTCTGTCTTTGGTTGATTATACTCCATAGGTGTGCTGCCCAGCTGCTAGGAGCAGCTTAATGGTCTTAGTACCTACAAAGGATTTTCTTGAGCCCACATTACCTTCTAAAGTACTATCTTGAGCCTTAAGAACTTGCAAAGCCAGCCACACACACAGCCAATGCTAGTGCCACAGCATGTCATGGTTATGACCCACCTACTTAGCACCAGGAACACAGGCCTCTGCAGCTGAACCTATCTTGCAGATGTCGATCTGGGTCAGCCTAGGATGAGAGTGGATGGAAGCACGGGGCCCTCCCGATCTCAGTTTGTCCCTTCCCCCAGGTGTGTGCCTCCACACTTGGAAGCAACCATTTGCAATTTAAAAGAACCCCTTTTTTACAAAACTTTTGTTTACTGCTGACAATAGGGCCAGGCAATGCAGTAAGTGTTCTAATACACATAATAAAGAGAAGCTGACTTCTATTTTTAATAAGCTGTTAAGTTTTAACTTGAAGAGGTTTAGTAGTAGATATCATAAGCCTGAAAATTCCAGTTTTAATTTTTTAATGTAAACTAGGAAGGGGTATGGGATCATTACCAGAGATGACATCTATATCAGGCAATACAATTGCCATGACACACAGTCCTGTCCAGTTGGTAGGTAAATATGTGAAGGCTAAACTTCCTCTGCATATAAACACATGTCCCTTTTTTGGGCAAATAGGGCTACTGTAGTTAAGTATTTGATTGCAGCTGGTGAAGGTAACAAATTCTACATCAACAGTGAAACTATCATTGTGGAAGCTTCCTTGAATACAGGAAGAATTCCACAGGAGATAATTCTCCCCAGAGAGGGCGGCTCTGGCTAATGCCTGCCAGTCCTCAGGAGTAAGCCAATTGTCAGCCACAGTTTCTAAAATGGCTGTGGTGTATGGAGCCATGGCTCCATACTGGGCAACCGCTGCTGTCATTCTGGAACAGGGGGCCTTGTGGCTTTCCCCTCAAGGCAAAGTCCCTGACCTTTGCAGTTCTGAGGCTGTAAAGGGTGGAAACCTGCCTCCTCCTGTGATGTCTTCAGGCCATCACTTCCATTCTCAGGTTTCTTCCCAGCAATGGAGATCCTCTCAGCTCCATCTTTGCAGTCTACAGCTTTCTTGGCGCTTTCTTTCTGACCAAGCTCACAACATTTTAAATCCTCCTGCTGGGCTCCTTGCTCTTTTGTCCCTGCAGTATATTTTCACATTTTTTTATCACATTAGTAATGACCGGGTCACAGTGTCTCTGGGATGAGATTTCATCAATTAAGTTCCAGTAGGAAAAGGCCATAACTGGTGTTATAGGTAGCCAAATTAGATAGAAATATTAATAGGCAGTCAGACAAGGCAAGACCCTCGAAGTAGACAGCACAAAAGACAAGTTATCTTGTAACTGTGAGAGGGACGGATGCTCCTGCTGTGAGCCAGACCTAAAAGACCTAAAGACCAAACAAATGCTAAAAGAGTAGTACCTGAGATTGCTATTCTAAATAGGTATCAATCACCTAAAAAGACAAGTGAGTCACCAGCCCAGCCCCCATTTGGCCCTGGGCATAATCAACTTTA